TTGTTTTGATTTATATGTTATACTAATATTTAATAGACAATAGTGCCATGGCACTATAGAGCCATGAAAGTATTTCCTTTAAAAAAAACAAAATAGTATAATGGTAGAAACATTTTCCAACGATCATCTGTACCAAAAATCCAAATACATTTTTTGTAAAAAAACACAATAGCACTTAGTAAAAAAAACGGAGTCACACTACTAGCTATAAGTTAGCAGTTGTTATTTAGAGGTAGTTCTTATATGCTACCTGCTAACTTCTTCAGAGTTTATCACTCACCACTTGTACAGCACTTGTCATTTAGAAGTAGTTCTCATATGCTACTTGTCGACAAGCCCAGAGTTTATTACTCACCAAAAAGAAAGTATAGATGCCCACCCCTTTCTTAGAAGAAGGTTTAGGAGTTGTCGAGTCTTTACATAGATGTAACTACTTTCCTTGGGTGCAAGTGGTCTTTCCCTAGGTGTTTTTGCTGGGCCGGTCTTCTCCAAATTTTTTGACAAAAAGTGGGCGATTTGGCTTACTTTTTCCAAAAGATTGGCATTGTTTACCTCCCAAATTCAGACATACCCAGAAATCAACCACATGTCTTGTTTATTGGTAGATACAATACATGACGTAATCTATAGATATGGGATCTCCATGTGTCTCTGGCATAAGAGGAATCTGGAGGTGGCTGGTAGTCAAATAATAAAGGTTTTATATTATAGCCGAGATATACAAATATTGCAGATATTATAAAATTTTTTTTAAACCTGGCATGGATTATAATAGTGTATTTCTTCTTTTTCCCTATGCTATTTCTTTATAGAGGTAGTTCCCCCTTTGTTAGCCCTCGAGCTTTTCTTTTTGTGTTTCTTTTTTTTACATCTAATTATACCCTCTTTTTTTTTCTTTAAAAATACCCCCTCATTCTATTTGTTTTTTTAGTTAGTTTTTCAATTTGTTTCTTGGTAGTATTGGTGGTTTTGTATGAGATCATCACTGTCTTTTGCTCTCGGTATAGAAAGGAGATATGAAGGGAAAGCTTTGATGGGCTGACAAAGTTTATCTGACTTGTATATAGGTTGGTGTGACAAGTCGCATAAGGGCGTTTATCGCAACCGAGTGATGTCAGGCTCGCAATCGTGAGACTTCCTGTTTTTTGGTTATGAATGATATATGTATTGTTTGAAAGAGCTTAGCTCTTATCTGAAATATAGTCCCAATAAATTGAGCACTAGCAAGACTGTCAAAGATTTAAAAAAAAAAAAAAAAAAATTAATTACTTATTTTATACTTGTTTTTAAAGTATTTAATTAGTATTAAAATTAATTACTTATTTAATACTAATTTTTATAATATAAAATAAGTATTATAATTAATTATTAATATAATATTTATTATTATAATATATAAAAAGTATTAAAATTAATTACTTATTTAATACTTGTTTTTAAAGTATTTAATTAGTATTGAAATTAATTACTCTTATTAAAATAAATAATTATAAAGTACTTAAAATTAATATTTATTTTGTATTAAATTATAATAGTAAATAAATACTTATAGTAAATATAAATAAATACTTACAGAATACTAAGTATTTAAAAAATATTATTAGCAAGCACTTATTAAATAATAGTGTTTAATTTATATAAGATAGTTATTAGTTTACCTTCCTGATTATTGTTATAAAAAATAAGGTAAACCAAAATTACTACAGTTAGACTTCTTTGAATGCAACCCTTCTAAATACAATACTCTATAAATGCAACTTAAAGCTCCGGCCAAGTGTATTTCTAACCCTTATAAATGCAATTTTTCTTATTGTTTGCTATCAAAAGTATGGCCCCAACAAGTTGCAGTTAGAAAGGTCTGTCTGTATTAAGAGAAAGAATTTTGCCTTTAACATTTTGTAAAGGCTATCCTGATGGAATGTTTAATTAAGCCTGAGAATTAAGCCTCAGCGAAAGAGACCTAATTATAATAATTATGCATCGAAGTATTGATAATCAAAACTATATTTTCTACTCGAGTGCTTTTTTATATGTTGTCCTGGTTAGTTAGTACTAACTCCATTGACAAAGTCGCCATTTTGACAAGTACACTTAAAATTCTAATTAATTTTTTAAACAATTAGATTTATTGAAGTACTAGTTACAGTTATTAACAAATATTAACAATTATAAAGGGTCAAAATTCTAACAAAAATAATAAGGTGGTGATTATAAAGTTATAATTTAAATTTTCGCCTTGTAAACGATACAATTCAAGAAATTAACAAGATCAACTAAATGTTCAATAAAACTTAACAATTAATTTAACAAATTTATCAAACTCGAGAGATAATAAGAACTAATAAAGTAATATAATAACTTGATGATAATAGTGGTAAACTTTCACTTCAGAACGTAAAACCGGTAGTTGTGATAAAATCTTTAGAATATGAGATAGGTGGTTATGATAAACCTTTAGGGGATAGACCTTTATCTGCAGAACGTGATGATAAATCTTCTTGAGGTAAACCCTTAGTTGCAGATCGTGACTTAGGAGATACCTTTAGTTGCAGAACGTGACGACAAATCTTCTGGAGGTAAACCCTTAGTTGCAGGAGGTAAACCTTTAGTTGCTGAACGTGACGACAAATCTTCTGGAGGTAACCCTTTACCATCAGTCGCAGGAGGTAAGCCTTTAGTTGCAGAACGTGCTATAGGAGGTAACCCTTTACCATCAGTTGCAGGAGGTAAACCTTTAGTTGCAGAACGTGCTCTATAAGGTAACCCTTTACCATTAGTTGCAGGAGGTAACCCTTTACCATCAGTTGCGGGGGGTAAACCTTTAGTTGCAGAACGTGCTTTAGAAGGTAACCCTTTACCATCAGTTGCAGGAGGTAACCCTTTAGTTGCAGAACGTGCTATAGGAGGTAACCCTTTACCATCAGTTGCAGGAGATAAACCTTTAGTTGCAGAGCGTGCTATAGGAGGTAACCCTTTACCATCAGTTGCAGGAGGTAAACCTTTACCATCAGTTACAGGAGGTAAACCCTTAGTTGCAGAACGTTTATTAGGCTGTTCTGGAATTAGCCTTTTATCAAGCTGACGTGGAACAACATTAGCTACAAAGAGCGTTGTCAATAAAATAAGCAAAAAAATGAAATTTCGATTCATGTTTTTTGTGAAATCAACATGACAGAATCATTAATTGAAATTTATGTCTTAGTATTAAACGTTGCCTTTTTATAAGAAATCCTTTTATTTTGTCTTTAATATAATATTTAATTTAAACTTAAAAATGTGAAAGAATTAAACATCAAAATACGAGCATTATCTAAATTAGGCTGTTAATTAATCCGGACCGGACCGACCGCCGGTCCTTCGGTCCATCCAAGGACCAATCAGTCCAGTCCTCTTTAGGATGGATCGATAGGACCATCAGCCCTAAAAGTAACGATAAGCATTGCAATTAGAAAGGACATCGATATAGCAAAATCCGCAAGGAATTGTTTTTGTTAAGACGCATGTGGTTTTATAGGCGAAATTTTGAGTTATGGGCAATTTTTTGAAAAAAAGCTTGATTTATTTTGATTTCAACATTATACCTGATCCCGTGTTGTTATTGGTTTAAAATCACGAGAATGTGGTAGCAGTTTCAAGTTACACTATCATGTATGAATACCACTACAAATCAAGTAAATCGATACATAAAGTACCTAAAAGTATTCGATTCAAATCGTAAGCGCCTGAGAATACCTTAATTATTCGATCCATCCGATATAATTCTAACCGGTCCTATTCGGTCCTGGCAATCCGATCTTTTAAAAAATCGCCAGTACTTGGACCAGGATGTACCGGATGGACTGATTAACAGCCCTAGAGTCTAAATCTATACAAGTGCCAATGTAAACATCATTTTAAATACCAAAAACGTGGGTTGCAAGGTCTCGTGAATTTATCGATATCGTAGGAATTAAAACCGTTAATCTGTCCATCCTTGTTCATCTTGGCCCAAGGACTAACAAGATTCTAAAAGGCAAAATTGAACTGCAATCCAGAATCGGTTAAGATTGAAGAATTATGCTTAATTAAATTGCCATTGCAATTAAATTTTCTTAATTAAAAGCTATAGTAATTATGGTGTTACATAATTGGATAGCAATTTCACATGTCGACGCTCATAGGAGGACTTTCATCTGATCGGCTGATGTAAATCAATTGCCCGGGTAACTTATTTATACACTTTTAAAGTACTTTTTGAAAACGTAACGTTTCGCTAATAAAAAATTGTTGCAAAAGTCATTATTAGCTTTAGACGAACGTTAATATTCACTGTGCAAAAGAATTCAAAAAGAATCCCACTTCTCACTTACTTTACTTAGAAGCGAATATTTTTACTATTTACTGCTATATTACTATATGTAAGTTCTAAATGCTGGAAACAGTCAACAAAAAAAAAGATTGAAACGTTTAACTTAAAGAACTTTGCGTATACTGTTTGACATGCTATTGTAATAACGATAAGCTTGTACTAATGTCATATTTTACATATTCTATTATAGAGTTAAAAATATTAGTAAGTATAACTTTGCGTTAAGTACTGAAGTAGTAGGTTGATAATGTGTATGGGTGGGTATATAAGCATTATTGTTTAATAATTATATAGACTAAAGGTTATATCGCATCTCTAATAAAGGTCACGATTATTAAAAATAAATTGAATTACTTTTGCTACTTTTCAAAATATAACGATAGTAAATATATTTCGCAAATAATTTACTCGCATATTAAATTTTTTGGTCGATATGAGCTTGGGTTTATTAGTAATAAATATTGATTTATTACACTTTACACATGTCTATCTATTCCTAAATATGTGACAAATTCTTTGTTACACGTATTTATTAGTTTGTAAGCTTCTTTGCTTTTTTACGTAAGTTTATTCATTTCCTAACATTTTCTAGTTCTTAAAATTATGCATTGTGATTGGTTAATTAACACGAAAAATCATGGGTAGATCTACAAAAATTGACCAATTAAATGAATGTCTTCCTATGATGTTGACGCCCTTACTTTGCTAAAAAATAAAAAATACGATAGATAATAAATGATAGTGAAATATTTAGCCAATAACAGCCCTAATACATATGTACATATATGTGTGAAATCATCATAATTCTCGATTTCCAATTCCTTAGATTAACTATTCATATTCTGCCAGGAACGGATGGTGATGTGATAATTATAAATTATCTAAATTAATGCGCATAATATGTATGGGAATATTCAAAATATACTTATTGTGGTTTGTGCCTTTGATCAAATTTGCATATTGTCATATATTATACAATCACTTAAACATTCGTCTAGTTGTGCAATTATACAACGGCTTTTTAGTGAGAATAGATCTGACTGATAAATTTTATAACAATATTTGAATCTTTGGTCAAAATCGCAAAATCTGACAACAATCAGGTGATTGTATTGGTATATAACGATATACAAATTTGATCAAAAGACACAAACTGCAATAAACACTAAATGGGAAGATTAAAGAATACTGAACCCAGTGATTATCACAGTATCATGACTAGAGCTTCAGATTTATATTCGTTATTCGAATAATATTCGTATTCGGCAAATATTCAAATAAAGTTTTCTAAATAATTATTCGATGAATAATTCGAATATTCGAATAATTCATTATATTCGAATAATTCGAATA